GTGTTTCCCCTGAGCCGTAAACACCTGGCACTGAAGATCAAAATGTCCCTTCAGCCTGGCGGAAAGTGATTCTGTTAAGACATTTTCGACGATGCTGAGCATTCGAGGGAACTGGACGGTAGAAGCCCAGCGCTTACCGCTTGGGTCCTGCAGTTGACATCCCGCTTCGTCCCGCGCCCCGTTCTGTCCCCCGTTCTAGATGCGCTTCGCAGCCGCCGGCATCAGCTCTCTCCCCTGTAGGCACTTCGGCGTGTGTGCCATTAACTGGAGTCCGATACCGTTCAGCGTGGTTTCCACTTTGCTACCTACAGGGATCAGCCTTTTAGCTCTAGAATTCTTCGCCTTTCCTGTCCCATTACTGCTGGTAAAGTCCGAGATGCTGCAAACCGTGAAAGTTCTCTCTCTCTGTGCCGCGGCATCGCGCTGACCCTCAGATTCACGCCTGTTTGGAGCCACAGCTGGTGTGAATCTGGTGAGGAAGGATTAGCAGCTGCTGGGGCTTTAGCTCTGGTGTCTTAATCAGAGAGGGCGCGTCATGTCATGTCGCAGGTAAAAATTAACCCTAGCGTGAAGCCAGGCAGAGGCAGCCCGTACAGAGCGGCGGCGGGGTCAGAGGGCAGAACCCCCTGCATGTCACCTCTTCTCGGGCACCTGCGGTGTGGCATCGGATGAGTCACCGGCCACCCTGTGCTAATTTAGTGCTAGTGGTTGGTCAGTCAGTTCTCTTGGGTTTTCTAAGCTTTTGTCTTTTTCTTTCCAGTCTTTGTTCCTTTTGTTTTTCTTGCCTTGTGGCGTTGGTGACTGTCCTCCCTGCTCCTGTGGGGAAGGCCCTCGGCCGCATTCCTCGTCCCTAAAGGGAGTTCTTCCTGTGACCCCTGCTTGTTTTTCTTTCTCTAATTCCTTAATAGTTTCTCGGACATAAAATTCATGTTGAATTTTGCTTAATGCTTCTCTGGATTGTGAGATGTGATCATAGAGCTTTTCATCTTTGGCTTTGAATAACTTCCTAAATTTCTCCAGACCCGCTTCCCTGCCTGTGAAATGCAGTAGTGGAAGGAGGTCATTGAGTCAGGCGGGGTCTGGCTCAGCGCTCATGGCACCCCGCCCCCCCACCGTGTCCATAGAATGCCATCTCCTGTGGGCTCCTGGGCTCTCCTAGGGCTGTGCCCCTGTGGCCAGAGGCCGGGCAGATCATTCCAGCTAGCCAGGGAAGTAGGCCCGTGGGGGGCCGGGGCGGGGAGCCCGTGGGGGGGCCGTGGCTGCTTCCTGTCTTGGCAGCATCGCAGGCTCCGTCCTGGGCCGAGGCTGTACCCTGGGACGCGGTCCCTGTATGGACCCAGCAGGCCTCGTGTCCCCTGCCACCCCTTTTCAGCAGCAGCTTGCCCTCCCCGCACTCAGAATTCTGCAGACGTCTGTCAGCGGGTGACAGAGCAGCCCCGGTCCACCCATTCTGGGGGAGACACGACACCTAAGTGCCACGTGGTCCTGAGTGCCAGGAAGAGTGAGGAGGACCTCAGAGGGTCAGTTTTAGACAAAGTGGTTGGGGCACAGCCTCTCAGGGGTGACATGTGAGCCAGGTCTTAGATGAAGCAAGGGCGCGAACCCTGCAAGGATCTTGGGAAGGGCGATTCAGGTGCGGGCGGACAGCCCGGGCAAAGGCCCTGGGGCAGGACCGTGCCTGGCGTGTTGGAGGAGCAGCGAGGAGGCCCTTGCGGCTGGGGCAGCGTGAGTGAGGAGGAGAGAGGGAGGGGACCAGGCGGTCATTCAGGGCCTCGTGGGCGGGGAGGACTTGGGCTTTTACCCAGAGGAAGGTGGCAGCCTGGAGGGCTGTGGGCAGAGGAGGGACCCGACTCAGTCGCTCACCGGCGCCCTCTGGTGGCGGCTGTGGGGAGGACAGACGCAGAGAGGGCCAGGGCAGAGGACTGTGCTGGTTGGTGGTCCAGGTGGGCCATGATGGGGCAAGCTGGGCAGGGAGCAGTGGCGGATTCTGGACAGACTGAAGGTAGAGCCGAGTGTGTTGGCCGAAGGACGTATGTCGCGGTCTCTGCCCTGAGGACCCACAGCCCTTTGCAGGCGTTCCCTGCCTCAGTGTCCACATTAAACACAGTGGGGAAGCCGCTCCTGCTGAGGCTCATAGTGTGCAGAGGGCAGAGGCCACGCACCCCCCACCGGCCATCAACAAGCCGGAGCTGACAGGGGCCCGAGGCGACATGCCCCACAGGCACTGCAGCTGCGCCCCCTCTGCTGTCAGGCTCTCCCCTCCCCCGGGCTATTTTAAAACTTAATTTCTTCAAAAACCGGCTGGCTCATTCAGAAGATAATTGGTCACGTCTTGGGCTGGGAGGGGCTCATCTTGGCACATCTTGGTGGGGTCTCTCGTTCCCTAGCCTGGCCCCGTGGGTGGGGACGCCCGCCACCCCCTGCAGCTGAGTGACCTTGGGCGGATGCCCCCTGAGCAGCTGCCCCTCCTATGAAGATACACGAGGCCAGGGATCCGAGTTTGGGCGAGAGTGACGGGGTCACCGCCCTCACAGGCTTCTGTGGTGGGGCAGACAGTGGGGGTAAAAGGGGAGATTTCGGAGAGGGGGGGGGCATGCAGACAGTGGGACTGAGGGATGGGGCCTGAGGGGCAGGGCAGGAAGGCCATCCTGCCGCCCCTCCTGGCATTGCGTGCACAGATGTTCTGGGTGGAGGGGTGGGGGGTCTCTCCCTTCTATCAGCCAGTGTGGGAGGGGGCTGGGAGAGGCAGTGGAGCCCAGGAGCTCCCTCCAGGCAGAGGCCCCAGGCACGAAGCGGGCTGTCCCTGAGCTGTCTGGTGGTCAGCGCAGCTGTGTCCGGAGGGGCGTGGCCATTTCCCGGGGCGGGGCAGACGCGGATGCTGGATCGGCCACACAGGCCCGCGAGAGCTCAGACACCTCAGGGGAGCAGGAGGACACAGGAGGGGCGGCTCATGGGGGAGGCCAGGACCCGCCTGGGCAAGAGCCCTGGGGTGAAGGGCTAGAGCTGCAGAGGGCACAGGTGGGCACTGCTGGGTGGGTGCTGGGCCCAGGGGCCCCAGGCGGGCTGAGAAGGGGGGCTCCACGGCTCCCACACAAGGTCTGGACTATTCTACCCTGTCCACCGCCGGCTTCCTGCCTTCTCTTCCTTCCTCCACACCCCAAACCATGAGAAACCATGAATTGTTCTGCTGTTGGGTGGCCAAGAAAAATGTTACGTCAGCTTTCCAGTACCTTCTGGACCCCGGTTCTGCCGGAGCCCAGGTTCCTCCCTATGACCAGGATGCCGGGGCGGGGAGCCCCTGCACATCTGCCGGTGGTGTCCAGGGCCCGCCATAACCCCCACATGGCTGGCCGCCTTCTGGGGACCCTGAACGGGTCCTCAGCCTCAGTCCATTGGCTTTGTCCTGCACGCTGGTATATTTTTTTTATTGAGAGATAATTCATATACCATAAAATTCACACTTTTAAGCATACTTTAGCATTTTTCTTATTTTCACAATGTGCAGCTGTCATCGCCAATTTAAACAGGTCCCTCTGATGGGGTGAGGTCGACCCCGACCCTCACCTGGGCCTGCCACTCTGTCTCCCTCTCTCCCTCCCCGGGCTGTACCCTTCCCAGACAGCCTGGCCCCCTGGGGGGGGCTCCCAGCCCGTCTGCACCTGACGACGCCCACGGCCCTTCTCCAGCAGGGCTCCCCTGAGCTCCAGACTCGGGGTCCAGCTGCCCCTCGGCATCTCCATGTGGGCACTCCCAGGGGTCTCACACCCAACACGGCCACGCTGTGCCAGAGTGGCCCCAGAGCTGTCCTGCCCGTCCCTGCCCCAATCTGTCATCCCTGAAGGAGCCACCAGGGGGCGCCTGTGAGCATCTGCATCCTGCTGGCTCCCCTCCCTCCCGCTAAAAGCCCAAGTTGTCCCTTGGGGTGCTGACCTGCACCCTCTACCTGTCACCTTGGCATCCACCTGGTGCTCCCTGCTCCCCGCTGTGGGCCCTTGAGGGCCGGGGCCAGGTCTGTCCTGGTTGTCACTGGCTTTCCCCAAGGCTGACACCTGCTTGACACCCAGTGAATGAATTTCCTGTTGCAGCTGAAACAAGTCACTGCAAACTTGGCATCAAACCACACACATTTATTTTCATAGTCCTGGGGCCGGGGGTCCCACACGGGCCTCGCGGAGTGAACCCAGGTGGGGCAGAGCGGGGCCATCCCAAGGCTCCAGGAGAACCGTCTCCAGCCTTATCCAGCTTCCAGAGGCTCTGCATCCCTGGCTCACACAGCCCCTTCCCCCTCGTCACAGCCGGCAGGCGGCCTCGTCCATCTTTCTGTGACTCTCCTACCTCCTCTATGAGGAGCCTGTGAGGACACTGGGCCCCGGGAACCCAGAGTCGTCCCCTCTCAGGGGCCTTGACTCCATCTCTTCTACAAAGGTGGACATCGTCGGCGGGGGCAGGGGCGGGGGCGTATCTGCTCACCACCCTCAGTAGAAGCTGCTTTCCGGGTGAGGTCAGTGGGGGCCTGAGGCCTCCCTCGGGGAGCCAGGGTTGGAGGGAATGGCCCTGGCGGGGGAGGACTGCCTGCCTTCTCATCTGTCCCTGGGTTGTGGTGACAGGGGCCTGTCTTCGGCTGGCTTTCCAGCACCAGCTCCCTAGAGAAGGCCAGGAGAGCTCCAGCCGGGGTCCCTGGCCCCTGCCCGCTGACCACAGCCCCCACAGGGCCCCATCCTTCCCCATGACACCCCTCCCAACCTCGCCCCTCGTGGTCATCTGATTTCTCTGACCCAAGTGTCCCCTGGCTTAGCCCTGCTCCTGCCAGCAGGGGAAGATGGCACTTTGTCAGTTCAGAGTCACTCCGTCCATTGCCACCAGGGACCTGATGTCTTCGGGGTGAATGGTGGGTCAGAGTTGGGGGGGCGGTCCCTCCCTGCTGCTCCCAGCTGGGGTGTGCCCAGCATCCAGTCCTCCTGCCAGTCCTGCCTCCGGGTCCTGTCACTGCAGAGTGAGGTTGTAGGTGCGTGTGAGGGGGGAGGACCGTGAGGACAGCGGCCTGAGTCCCTCGGGCCCCAGTCCAGGTGGCTGGGCTGTCAGTCTGAAGTCTCTCCCTTCTCTTCCTCAGGTCTGGCCCAGAAAAAGACAGGCCCCACCGAGGTGAGTGTCCTGTGGGCCCCGCCCTGGCCTGCCCCTCCCCCTCCCAGAAGGCAGACGGGGAAGCGCCCAGCCCTGCCCGGGTCCTGCTTGGGGTCCTGCTCCGTGGCCCCAGGCAGCTTGCATGGCTCTGGGCCCCCAGTACTGGCAAGTGTCAGATGGTGAAAATCCTGCCTAGTCCATCAGAGTTTTGAGTTTCAGGGATGGGTGCGGGTGGGGGAGGGACGAGGCCCGAGGACTCAGCCCTGAGCCAATGAGGGGGAGGCCAGGGAGGGTGGCTGAGGCAGGGGGCAGCCCCAGGGGGGTGCGGGGTCCGAGGACCAGGTTCTCGCCAGGGGGCAGTGCAGTGCCTGCCCGCTCAGCACAGCTGCCCCGCAGCCCTCGCGGGAGCACAGTCCCCGCCGTCTCCACCACCTTCCAGCAAGCTCCCAGAGAGCGTCCCCTGTGATGGCCGCTGCCCTGCATGCCCCCGCTGCCCATCCCAGCTCTGGCAGTGTGGGTGGAGTCGGCACTGTCCCTGGGCAGGGTCACTCCTGAAGGCAGCCTGTGAGGGGCGTGTCTGCACCTGCCTTAGCACCAGTCCTGGCTGGGTGTCCCAGGTCCCCTTGGAGCCCAGTCTCTCCCAGGAGGCCACCCTCCAAGGAGGGCTTTGTCCACTGCTACAAGGCAGTGGGAGGGAGCTGGGTAGGCCCAGGCGCTGGCAGGGCAGTGGGGAGCCAGAGAGGGGTGCGGAGCCGGGGCTGTGACAGTGGTGCTGACAGGAGCCTGCCCCCTGGTGGCCGATATGCAGAGCGCAGTGGGGAGTGCTTCGAGGGCTGCCTGGAGCCTGGAGCCGAGAGGCGGTTCAGGCTGGGCTGCAAGCGGAGGGCTATGTGGGCTCTGCATGGTGGCAGGTGTACAGTGGGTGCTTCTCTAATGTCAGTGACAGGTGGAGCCACCAGAGGGACACCTGGTTCCTGTCTGTGGGCCGGCCTCAGACCCCTGCTCTGAGCTGGCTTCCGTGTCTCTCCAGGCCCACGGGGCCCTCTCCACCGTCCTTCCCTGCAACGTCATACACGAGGGCCAGTGGCTTCCACACAGGCTTGCTGGGACGGCCATGTCGTGCCTGCCCCAGCTGGCCCCTAGAACTCATAGGAGCTGGGCCTGCCCCCAGGCCAGCGGGGCCGTGCCCCTTGGGGGGGCTTGCTCCTCAGAATCCTTGCAGCTCAGAGGGTCCCACCAGGCATGACATCTGGGGACATCTGCAGTTGTCACACTGGGGGTGCATAGGGCATGGAGTGGGTGGAGCCGGGGATGCTGCTCAGCCCCCACAGTGCCCGGGATGGCCCCAGAGGACGAGGCTGTCCCTGTGTCACCAGGAGGAGACCCTCAAATCAGGGGCTGCTGGCCAGGGCTGCTGGCTTCCAGCTCTTCTTGAGGAGCCTGGTCTGGGCGTGGGCCCTTTGGGGTGTGAGGCACTGCCTGCGGGTGTGCAGCCCGCCCACCTGCTTCCTGCCCCCCGCGCGCCCCACACGGCCCTGCCTGGGGCTCCAGGCTGGTCACGGTGACTCAGGCCCCCTCTCGCCAGGATTTCTGTAGCATTCGGCCCTGACGGTGCCTCCTTGCTGACTTTTAATGCTTTCCGTTTCTTCTTTCCTAGGCCCCGTTGATGACTGGACAGCCAGGCCCCGGCCACGGGAGGAAGCTGGGCCATCGGGGCGTGGACGCATCTGGCGAAACCACTTACAAGAAGGTTGCTGCTGTGCCATTAGCCAGCTAGGGTGGGATGAGGGGAGGCCCATCTGCCCCTGGCGCACACGCAGGGCCCGCTGAAGGCTGGGCGCGTGCCGTGGCCACGCTCTGGGTGTAGGCCCTAGGCCTGGCGAGGTCCCCGGAGCCAGGCAGGTGGTGCAGCCTCGGGAACTGCCTGTGACCCTGGGTGAGCCCGCAGCTCCCAGCCCTCTGGCTCACCTAGAGAGGGGGGAATTACAGCTCCCTCCTCTCCCCTCCCCTCCCCTCCCCGTGCCGAGGGGAGGCAGCGATGGGCAGGGATGGGGACCGCTGAGCCAGGCCCGGCCTGGGGAGCACGCGGGGGCCCAGACCCCACGCCGTTAGGCTCCCTGCTTCGGCACGCTTCCCGATGCGCCAGCTTTGCCGAGAGCTCGCACTGCGGGGTCACCGTTCTGAGTGTGCAGTCGGGCGGGGGATGCTTCTAGGGAACTGCAGGGGTGTGCCACCATCACAGTCTTGGAGCGTTTCCATCCCCCCAATATGACACCCTGCCCCCCTTAGTCGCCCCGACCCCGCTCCCCAGTCCCTGACACCACTGACCCACTGGCTCCGTGCACGCGCCTGTCTGGACGTGTCACACGCGTGGGATTGCACACCGCGCGGCCTTTCGTGTCTGGCTCCTCCCACTTGAGCACCGTGTTCAAGGGGCCGTTGGGATTTGTGCTGCTGTGAACACCGTGTAGTTTGTGCTTCCATCTCTTTGGGGCACGTGCCCAGCAGGGGAATGCTGGGTCGTGTGGAAATTTTAACCATCTGAGGAACTGCCAGACTGTTTCCCACCGCGGGGGCCCCATTTTCTGCTCCCGCCAGCCGTGCCCATGGTTTCTGGTTCCTCCCCATCCTTGCCAGCTCTCGTCTGTCCTGATCACGCCCATCCTCGTGCATGGGAAATGCTGTCTCGCCGTGGCTTTGGTTTGCATCTTGCTGATGGCCAGTGGCGTCGAGCGCCCTCTCCCGCGCCTGTTGGCTGTTGCATGTCTGCCCCGATGGAGCGTGGTTCTGTCACTGGCGCCTGGAGGGGGCCGAGTGCAGAGGACAGGGTTCGGGAGAGGCGTCTGCAGGCCACATGGCCCTGCGTGGGAGGACGGCTCGCTTGGGCAGAAGCTGCCCCCGGCCTGCGCTCCCTGCCGCTTGCTTGGGGCGGGGGGTGCTGGGGACCCGAGTCGGTCCTACCTTAGCGTCACACGCAGCGCTTAGAGCGCAGTGACGAGAGCTGGACCACGCGGACGGGAGGTGCTGCTCGGGGTGGGCAGCCTTTGGCCCAGGCTGCTCGCGTGCGCTGATGCACAGTCACGCCCGTCCTGGCTGTAGGTAGGGAAACTGAGGCCCAGAGAGGCTGTGTCGCCCCCCCTGTCCTGCCAAGTCGAATCACTGAGGAGCGGAGGGGTAGAAGGAACCCGGGTCTGTGCAAGTGAAGTTTGGGTGTTACGCTATATTGTATCCCCCCAAAAAAGAAAACCCCGATGGTGGCTAGACCCCTGCTGGATCAGGGCAGTTTTAAGATGTTGGAATGTTCTAGAACCTTGATTAAGAATGGGCTTTAGGGCCATGCGAGGCAATTTGGGAGTCTGCCAGGCCACTTCTTTGCCGTGTGGTCGTGTGGGCTGAGCGACTGGCCCTCGGCCCTCGGTCTGCGACAGGTGCTCCTCAGGCACCTGTGGCCCAGGCGTGGGGCAGGGGCCAGTCCAGGGGTCCTGACGTGGCTGTGTCTCCACAGACCACGTCCTCCACCCTGAAGGGCGCGATCCAGCTGGGCATCGGCTACACCGTGGGCAACCTGAGCTCCAAGCCGGAACGCGACGTGCTCATGCAGGACTTCTATGTCGTCGAGAGCATCTTCTTCCCCAGGTGGGCCCGCCGCACACCCTCCGGACATCCACTTTCACCCTGTGTCTCCTTGGCTTTGAGGTCCGACTCGGGATCCATTAGGGCAGGGGTCCCCAAGCCCCAGGCCACGGATGGTGCTGGTCTGTGGACTGTTGGGAACTGGGCCGCACAGCAGGAGGTGAGCGGTGGGTGAGCCAGCGAAGCTTCATCTGCATTCGCAGCCGCTCCCCAGCGCTAGCATCACCGCCTCAGCTCCGCCTCAGATCGTCAGGCGTTAGAGTCTCAGGAGCACTGGTTCCCAAAAGGGCGGGGACCACTGCGTCAGGGTATGCGTTTGCTGCTGAATCAGAGACAGCCTGTAGTGTTACTGTTCTTTTGAATAGGGACACAAAAGATACAAGGTTATTTTTCAGTTTCTCTCACACACACTTAAAAACGGACGGGCAATCCGGAGCTGGTCAGGTGTGTCCTGGATTCCTTCTGGTTGCTCTGCCATCCCCCATATGCAGCTCTTCTAACCGGTGGTCCCAGGTGGCTGCCCAAGCTTCGGCTGTCACTTTTGCATTCCAGCAGTAGGAAAAAGCAGAAGGGACACGACCAGGAAATGACACGTGTCATTTCTGCTCTGCTCACAGCTCATTGGCCAAGCACAGTCACGTGACCACACCTAGCTGCAAGAGAGGCTGGGCATTCCACTTGGCCACGTGCCAGCCACAGTTGTGGGCTCTGTTGCTAACAAAGAAAGGGAGAGTGGATACGGGGGGGACAGCCTGAGGCTGGCCACAACCCTTGGGCCCATCGGGAGCCCTGAGTTGCCTTTTGGATTGGCGGCTTGGGAAAGCTGTGGAGCTCTGTGGCTAGACCATTTCTCACGGGCCCCCCCTTTCCTTCCTCCACAGTGAAGGCAGCAACCTCACCCCTGCCCACCACTTCCAGGACTTCAGGTTTAAGACTTATGCGCCCGTCGCCTTTCGCTACTTCCGGGAGCTCTTTGGGATCCGGCCGGACGATTACTTGGTAAGCGTGATGGTCAGCTGTTGCTGTGTAACAAGCTAGCGCAGACACGGCGGCTCAAAACGCCATCTGGCTATTCACCTCACCGTTTCTGCGGGTCAAGAATTGGGTGTAGCTCAGCTGGGTTCTTTGCTTGGGGTTGTAATCAAGGGATGGTTGGGGACCGGGGTCTCATGTAAAACTGGATTGGGGAAGGGTCCACTGTCGTCACTGGCGGGACTCAGCTCCTTGCTGGCTGTGAACGGGGCGCTTTGCTCCCTTTACCCGGGAGGGAGGGAGAGAGCCTGCCAGCAAAGCAGACGTGACCGTCTCCTGTGAGCTCATCGTGGGCGGGGGCCCCTCACCCACACCCCACCCCCTTCTAGTACTCGCTGTGCAACGAGCCGCTGATCGAGCTGTCCAACCCCGGCGCCAGCGGCTCCCTCTTCTACGTCACCAGCGACGACGAGTTTATCATCAAGACGGTGATGCACAAAGAGGCCGAGTTCCTGCAGAAGCTGCTGCCCGGCTACTACATGGTAGGGGCAGATGTGGGCTCCGAGGAGGTGTTGGGGGGCCTTGTCCTGGGCTTCCCTCCAGGTCCTGTCCGCCGCCCCCAACCTCATGCGCAGCAGTTCCGCTCTGCCCCCAGGTCCTTTTTGCAGATGTGCAGGAGCAAAGGCTCCAAGGCCCCGTGGACAAGGTCCCAGGATCCTTGGGGCACCACCCGCCCACTGGGCCATGAGGAGCCTTCCCGGGTCTCTGAGCCTCACCCTGGGGGACCCTTCAGGGGATCCCCCCATACTTGTGAGCAGGCATTGAAATTTAGGCCCTGGCAACTGTCCCCAGCAGGTTGGGGAGTAGGTACTAGCCCCGCCTCACTCCCCATCTTCTCCCCATTGACACCCCTGAATTGTGGGTCCAGAAATTGTGGCTCGTGGGCCATGTGTCTCAGCATCCGGTGACTCAGAGGCTCAGGGGAGGAGGGGCTGGGCTGCCAGCTGGCTCCTTACAAAGGACCAGCTGCTCAGGCACCCGTGTTCTTGTGTGGCTCAAGACCCAGAAGCATACGTCAGGCCCCTGGGTGGGGTGGGCTCCGCCTGAGTGCCGACCGCCCTGCTAGGCCCAACAAGGGTGGGCTGCAGAGGGGAACACCGGGTCTGACCTGGCGGGAAGCTAGGCCCAGACAGCTGGTTAGTGTCCCATGGGGTCCTTTATTGTAAGGTCCTCTCGCTGTGCCTGGCTCTGTAGACACAGACCCTCCTAGAGCTTCTAGCTGGGTGGGAAGATGGAGAATTAAACCGCCTATGTGACCCACAGAACATTGGGGTGCTGGGCAGGGAGGCAGTCAGGGTGGGCTTCCTGAGGAGGCGGCCTTTGGCCTGGGAGCTGGTGGCTCCCTGCTGAGTGGCTGTGTGGCGCGGGGGCGGGGGGTGGGGGTCAACTACTGCCCACCGGCCTGCCCCCTCCGCACCCAGAACCTGAACCAGAACCCTCGGACGCTGCTGCCCAAGTTCTACGGGCTGTACTGCGTGCAGTCGGGCGGCAAGAACATCCGCGTGGCCGTCATGAACAACGTGCTGCCGCGCGCGGTGCACATGCACCTCAAGTTCGACCTCAAGGGCTCCACGTACAAGCGGCGGGCCAGCAAGAAGGAGCGCGAGAAGAGCGCGCCCACCTACAAGGACCTGGACTTCATCCAGGACATGCCCGAGGGGCTCCTGCTGGACGCGGACACCTTCTCCGCGCTCGTCAAGACGCTCCAGCGCGACTGCCTGGTGAGCCCAGGGGCGCCCACTCTCTGTGGTTGGGGGTGCTGGCGGAAGCCGCTCCGAGTGAGCCGAGGCCAGCAGCGCGGCCGGGCCCCTCCCGCTTCTCGCCCGGCCACGGAGCGGTGCATGCTGGCTGCGTGGCTCGGTGCTGCCCTCGTCCACAGCTGGCTGCTCTGTAGGGACAGAAACTGTCCTGCAGGGCTTTTCACCAGCCTTCACCATCCTGACGGCCCCTTCCCCCGGGGCGCCAGCTTGTCAGGGCTGGCTGTGTCCTCTGTGGCCCTCTGCTCCGCACCTCGGCTCCCGCCCCTTTCAAAACAACACAAAGTCCCCAGAAAACCTCCCCAGTGTCTCGGGGCCTTGCGGCTTCCGGGACTGCGGCCCAAGACCAGGTGTGCACGTGTGGTGCCTAGGCTCCGCCCTAGGGCCCGGAGCAGGTGGCGTGCACAGCACCCGGGCCCCCAGGGAGCAGAGCTGGCTGCTCTGTGGGAGGAGACTGTCTTGGCCACACACGGACCCCCAGGCCACCCCACGGGCCAGTCCCAGCTCTCCTCATCTACCCCACACACCTTGGTCCCCCGGTCTCTGGGACTGGGATGGCGACAGTCTCCCCACGTGACGGGACTGAGTGCTCGCTGCCAGATTGGGGGGGCAGCTGCGTGTCCTGACCCCCACCCCCCGCCGGCAGGTGCTGGAGAGCTTCAAGATCATGGACTACAGCCTGCTCCTGGGCGTGCACAACATCGACCAGCAGGAGCGGCAGCGGCAGGCCGAGGGCGCCCAGAGCACGGCGGACGAGAAGCGGCCACTGGGCCAGAAGGCGCTGTACTCCACAGCCATGGAGTCCATCCAGGGCGGGGCTGCACGCGGGGAGGCCATCGAGACAGACGACACGTAGGTGGCGGGCCGGGGGGCTGGCGGGGCTCCCAGCTCTGGTCTGCCCACGCGCTCTCGCCAGGCGTGAGCACGGGCAGGAGAGCTGGCATGGAGGCCGCAGATGACAAAGCAAATGAGGCCAGAAGCCTGTGTGTGGCCGGTCTCTGGTTTGCACACAGGGACAGTAGTGTCCGCCCACCAGGCCCCGTGAGAGTCTGACAGGTGACACACAGCTATGGCTTGGTGTTCTGACCACAGTGGGTTGAGGCCATTGGCCGTCCACGTGGGAAACACAGATGTCCCCTTTCTCTTGCTGGACCCCACTGTATGAAGCGCCCCTAGACAGGTGTTGGAAGGCGGAGCCAACTGGGGATGAGGGGGCCCCTCGACGTCAGGGAACACACCCAGAACTCGCCAGGGGCAGGGTCCACAGCACCGCGTCCCCAGAGGCAAGAGGCTGCCACACCAAGAGGCTCCACGAGGTCATGGAGCTCAGGAGCGTGTCCCCCACTCAGCCTCAGCCGCCCAACCTGGTCCTGCCCTGGGGACTCGGGGAGGCAGTCACGGCCTGTCTTCCTCATTGGCACTGGGGACACTGGGGCTGGGTCATTCTTTGTGGGGGCTGTCCTGGGCACTGTGGGGTGTTGAGCAGCATCCCTAGCCCCACGCACTTAATGCCAGGAGCACCCCTAGTCGTGAGAACCAGACACGTCCCCAGGCATGTTCCACTGCCCCTCGTAACCACGCACTGACCACGCCAGGGACCGGCTGGACTCTCCACCTCCATTGCTCTATTCTGTCTTCGTGGGTGCCTGGAGGAGAGGGTGGCACCCTATCTCCAGCTGGGGAAACAACAGCTCAGCAGTTGGGCGGAAGGAGCTTCCCGGGTGCACAGCCCTCTGGAAGTGGGTCCGAGGCTTGACTCCGGCTCAGTTGCTGCACTTGGTCGCCAGCTGCAGAGGACAGAGGGGGAGCCAGGCGCAGGGCTGTGACCGAGGCGAGGTGGGGCGTCTTGGCATGTGCAAAGGCCCTGCGCAGCTGGCCCTGACCTCAGACTAACCTGGCGTTTGTAGGGTCTGCACAGGGCCTGGCAGGGGATGGCAGGGCGTGCAGGTGAGCTCAGCGGTGCATGGAGTGCAGTGAGCAGAGCCTGGGCCTGGTGGGTCTGGGGCCGTGGCACCTTTGGGACAGCTGCTGCACCGTGTGACCTCACCAAGCACACTGGACCGAGCGCGTGCAGGTCTGGGGCCACGTGAGGTCACCGACTTCCCAGGTTGCACCCAAGGGCCCTCGAGGCTCTGCTTGGGGGTGTGTGCATATGTGTGATGTGTGTGCAAGTGTGTATGCATGTGTGTGCAGGAGTGCACTGTGAGTATCCTTGTGTGCGCGCATGCACGCATGTGTGTGCAGGTTGCACGTGTGCATGTGAGTGCGTTCTGTGGGTGCGTGCCTCCCTGTGCAGGCACGTGCGTGCGTGCACCGCGGCAGCCTCGGGCCTCCAGCTTTGAACTGGTGAGCTGGCTGGGAGAGCTGCTCGGCCCTATGCCAGGAGGGTTTCCCAGGTGCTGGGACCTCCTTTGAGTGTCCAGTCACGTGGCCCTTGTAGGGCCTGTGGATTCTCAAGCCAGGGCCTTTCAGTCCTGCCTGCTCCTCCCTCCACTTGTCTCCCCCCGTGTCCTAGCCCGCGGCCCCCCGCCCGTCCCCGCGGCTGCTGACGACACTCTGGGCTCTGTCCCCAGGATGGGCGGAATCCCCGCCGTGAACGGCCGAGGGGAGCGTCTGCTGCTGCACATCGGCATCATCGACATTCTGCAGTCCTACAGGTGGGTGCCCAGCCCCCGCGCCCAGCAGCCGGCGCTGTCTCCTCGTAGGGCTCCTTGTGCCTCCCAGGGCGCCTGCTTGGCAGCCCTCCGGGTCCCTCACCCAGAGATTCCACTGCTGGGGTCCGCCGTGGGGACTCGCAGTGGTGGAGACAGGGCCAGGCTGTCATGGGGCGGCGGGGTGTCACCAGCTGATCATCCACGCAGCCCTGTCAGTCGAGCACCTACTGTGTGCCAGGTGTGGGGCCCACAAGCAAGACGAAACGCCCCGTGTCTGTGAAGTGTGCCATCTCTGAAAAGCTACACAGGAAGAAACGCACACGCCGGTGCCGCACGGTCTGGAGCGCGGATGCGGGCGTGGCAATGCCTCGAGGAGCCGGCCCCCGAGCTCCGCCTGGACCCGAAGGCTCGGCTGACATTCGGGGCGTTTTCTCTCTGCAGGTTCATCAAGAAGCTGGAGCACACCTGGAAGGCTCTTGTCCACGACGGGGTGAGCGTCATTCCTTCGTTCCCCCATCCACTCGTTCTCTCTGCCAGTCCACAAACGTAGTAACCGGCTCTCTGGTCCAGGCACAGGTGCTGAAGCCAAGAGACATGTCCATGCTCCCGGGAGTCGCTGTCCGGTGGCGGTGTCCCCTTCCTGGACAGTCACAGGCCAAGGGGTCAGGGTTTGAACCCTCTGTGAGGGGCATGGGGAGGCTTCCTGGAGGAGACAACGCCCCAGTAGGTTGGAAGGGCTCCCGAGGACAGCCTGACCTGGAAGGTCAGGGGCTGGCAGGACAAAGAAAAATCTGGAAACGCACTGTAGAGGGCGTCTTGGGCCAGCGGGCAGCACCACACAGCTCTGACCCCTAGTGCCACGTGGGCACGTGACCCAGGACGTCTCGGGAAAAACTCGCAGAGCACTTCTTCCTGAGCACTGCCAACGTGTCAGCACTGGCAGAGAATTTTTTCTAAATGTGAAAGGCCATGAAGACTAATCCCCAGAGGCCAGAAAGAGCCCACTTGTGGGCTCTAGATAGCCCTTGCACGCCTGGTCCAGCTGCGCCAATAGCCAGCCGGGCAGATTAGTTCTTACTAAAGTGTGAAGGGCTATCCATGTGTCTGCAGTCTGTAAAATCCGTGATCCCAACAACCCCCACACCTCTCAGAGTATGTCCAGGGTTTAGGCAGAAGCTTCTAGAACGTACATTGAGAAAGTCCAGGTGGTAGCCGGATGGCAGGAGACTCTTCAGCAATGTTACAAAGCCGCAGTGGACAGGAGGGCTGTCTGTCAAGTGTTGATACGCCTGGCTGTAACCCCCCAAATAGAGATTAGGTCAGCCCAGGGGGCCCCAGCTGTCAATCACAGTGACCATGCAGGATGGTGGCTCCCGGATGCCAGGTGCCTGGCTCCTGCTGTACTGTCACACGCTCCGAGGCATTGCCCTTAGCCCTTGGCCCCTGGCTGGGTGGCTGGCCCCACCTCCCACCCTGAGGGAGGCTGGGGAGCACAGGGGTGGCACCCGCTGTCTGAGAGCAGAGGGGACGCACCGTCTGGCTCGTGCGTGTTGGCCAGATCAGGGCCAGCACAGGACGGCCGGGGATTGTCACCGCCCTGGGAGTCTGCGCGTCCAAACAGGTTGTCACATTACAGCAGGGGGAGGACACTGGGCCGCATCTGGGGCAGCCTGTGGTTGTCACACCGGGGCTGCTCCTGGCATCAAGGGGGTGGGGTCCAGGGATGCTGCTCATCACCCCACAGTGCCCCAACGGCCCCCCAGAGTGCTTCTGCCCTGATGTCCCCAGTGTCCCCAGTGCCGAGGGCGGACCATAACCATGGAAGGTAGGGGACTGGATCTGGGGGTGCAGCGAGGCGTTGCGGCCTCGGGGGCCCAACATTTATTGAGCGCCGACTGTGTGCTGGGCCCCGCCCCATGTCAGTCCTGGTGAGGGCAGAGGCGTCTGGTCTCCCTCCTGCACAAATGAAGAGACAGCCGCCAGGAGGGTGTCACACTGCCCGAGGTCACAGGGGTCACCGGGGTGGGAGCCCTGGCGCCGCTGGGTCTGCCTGGCACCGGGGAGCACAGCATCCACTGGGCACAGCCGATCAGTTCTGTCCTTGGGGCGAGTGTGGCGTGTGCCAATAAAACCTTACTTACAAAACGGGCATCGGGCTCCGCGGGCCCTACTTTAGAGAATTCCACTAGTTCTTTTGATATTAATTAATTAATTAAAACTTTTTTCGCAGTAGAAAAAGGAAAGTTGTATTAGAAGGGAAAGCGTACTTCCAGACACGGAAGCAGGCCTGAGCAAGAGACACATGGGTCAAAAAATTCAAAATACAGATGGGTTTATGACGTGAAAACCTCCCTCCTGCCACCGTCCCCTGATCCCTGGGTCCCCTCCAGGAAGCCCCGTGCCATGCCCCCCCCCCACACAGAGGTCTGTCCTGGCCGTCCTGCCTCACGCCCCTGCTGGCCCTTGGGCCCCCATCTCTCTTCCCAGGACACGGTCTCCGTCCACCGGCCCAGCTTCTATGCCGAGCGCTTCTTCAAGTTCATGAGCAACACGGTCTTTCGGAAGAACTCCTGTGAGTCGCCCTGGCCCTTTGGGCAGCAGGGACCCAGGGCTTGGGGAGAGGAAGGCAGGGACCAGGCGCCTTGTCCCGCCACTTGGTCAGCCTTGGGCGTCTGTCAGAGACCTGGCCCTCACAGCAGGGTAGTCAGGCAGCCGCCCCTCAAGGGACAGTGCCAGCCCTGGTGCCCGCTGTCCGAATTTGAGCCCTGGCTACACCTCGTCCTGCCTGTGTGTCCTCGAGTCACTGGTGGTCACAGGCCTGTTTTGCCGGCTGTACAGAGCTGTGAGGGCTGCACGTGTCTACAGCCTTGGCCCTCAGCCTTGTGCCATCGCCAAGGTGGCTAGTCATGGGTCTCACCAGACATTGTCAGGGAGACTACAGGATGAACAGCGGTGGGTGGTCCCGGAGGGTCCCACATCTGTGCTGGGTCTCAGGAGTCCCAAACTTTGTGACCGTCCCAGGCTGGGGTCCCATATGCTGCTGGAAGGGGTTTTGTCCTCACGTAGCTGTCTGTCATCTGTCCCCCAAAATCAAGGTGCTTGTTGGCCTTGGTCACTATGTCCCCAGTGTCCAGCTAGGGGCCTGGCACACAATAGTTGCTCAGTAACTGTCTATATGCACCTCATCCCCCCACCTGGGGACACACGGGGTGCCTCACACGCGGGGCCCCTTGCCCAGCCGGGCCAGCCCTGTGGGCTGGGAGCCCCGGCCGCCTGGGGCCTGCAGAACAAGGCAGCTCCGTGTCTTATGACTCATGGTCAGTAGCCTGAGAGCACCTGGTGGGAACACTGGCACCATGAACCCGGCTTCGTCCCCAGAGTTGGTTAACTGCACCAGCACGCCACCCCCCGGAACCTTCTTGAGGTGTCATTCCCACTGGTCCAGAGGAGTTTGCTGGACTTCGGGGACCGGGTGGCTGTGCACAGGGAAAAGCGAGCGCCTGCCGTGTGCCGGGAGCTGTGAGGGCAGAGGTCACGAGGAGGAGTGAGGATAGGAAGGTGGCGGGTGCCGATGGGCCAGGCCCGGTGCAGAGGGCGCTAAGGGATTCACCTGCCTCGCTCGACCCTATTGCAGACGAGGACACGGGGGCCAAGAGGCCACGCAGCCTGGCTTGGGGTCAGCCCATTGCACTGAGCCCCGCACTGCCCAGTGCCTCCCATTTCCTGTCTGAACATTGGGCCACAGCTGGGGTAGGCTGTGACAAAGGGCATGAGACCCCAAAATGCTCAGTAAAGGTTGGCAGCTGCTGACTGGGCTGCTGTTTCTGGAGGTCCAGGGAGTGGGTGCCAGAGCCAGGTAGGCAGCAGGGCGGGGCTTTCTCTGGGAAGAGGGGTTCTTGCCGGGGGCTCGAGGGACAGGCTGGAGACGGAGCGCCCCCCGGCCCCAGTGCAGAGGAGGGATGGGCTCGGCGGGGCCCTGCCTCGGTGTTGCCGTCCCCAGTACGCCAACCACCCGCCCTGTGCAGCCTTGAAGTCGTCACCGTCCAAGAAGGGCCGCGGTGCCTTGCTGGCCGTCAAGCCCCTGGGGCCCACGGCCGCCTTCTCGGCCAGCCAGATCCCCAGCGAGCGGGAGGACACGCAGTACGACCTGCGGGGGGCGCGCAGCTACCCGACGCTGGAGGACGAAGGTGACCGGCCGCAGGAGTGGGCGCACTGTGACGGGAGAGGGAGGGAGGCTGCCGTCCCTGGGGCACTGGGCGGAGCGGGGAGCAGCAGCAGCCATGCCTGCGCCTTGAGGACTGGCCCCCTGAAGTTGGGCCAAGCCCAGAGGGTGCGGCCTGGGTAACAGTCACCCCCCTCCTCCAATCCAAGATCTGCAGCTGTCTGGGGAGTGGGGAGTGGGGAGCAGCTGGGACTGGGCCTCGGGGAGAGCTGATCGTAGAACGTGCCACCAGGGAGGTGACAGTCTCCCTTCATATCACCAGCGTCACACACTGACCTAGAGGGATGAGGCGCTGGGTGGGGTCAGGCCCTTGTGGCAACGAGGGTCCAGGATTCCAGGCAGGGAGGGTGGGGAATGGCCCCAAGGGAGGCAGGAGTTGCCTGTGCCAAGGCCCTGGGGCCGCACGGGGCCTGGCCTGTAGGAGGGACAGTGAGGTCTGTGTGGCTGGAGCAAAGTAGGGGGAGGGACGAGGTAGGGGGAGGGGCCCGGCAGGACCGCTGGGAGGTGGTTTGGGGTTCTGAGAACCTTGGGAAACTGCTGGAGCCCCTCGTGGGGGAAGAACAGAGTGTGGGTGGCAGTGGGAGCCGCAGGGCAGCCCTGGGGCCTGGCTCCCAAAGGTGCCCACCACCTTGTCCCCGCAGGCCGGCCTGACCTCCTGCCCTGCACACCGCCTTCCTTTGAGGAGGCCACCACCGCCTCCATCGCCACAACCCTGTCCTCCACGTCCCTTTCCATCCCAGAGCGGTCCCCCTCTGAGACCTCGGAGCAGCCACGGTACAGGTGAGCGGAAGGGGGCGTGTCTCTGAGACTCAGGGGTGGGGCTGCATCCCCCAGAGGCGGGGCTGGGGCGGGGCCTGGGTGGGAGGCCTCGCCCACCCATGCCACCTGTTTTGCTTACCTGCAGGCGGCGCACACAGTCCTCTGGACCGGAAAGCAGGTGAGATGAGACCCCAGCCCGCTCCCCTCCTGTCGCCTCTCCCGTCCCCATGGTCTCCCCAGCTCCTCCCCCGCACAGCCCCCCTCCACATTTCTGCCTGGAGCTCCTCCCTCCGCTCTCCTTGGTACAGATCTGTTGATCCTCAGGCTCTAGAACTGCACAGAATGTGGAGTCAGCTTGTGTTTCTCTTCCGCCTGGGGACCCAGACAACACCCCTCTCCCCCGTGCCTATTGATCCTTGTTTTTTCTTTTTTATTCTAAAAAATACAAAAGGAAACTTAGTGAATCGCCGGCCCCTGCCCTAGCTGGGTCCCCTCCCTGGCAGCATACCCTGGGTGGGGCTTTTTGTCTATTTCTGGAGATAATTGTCTGACTGTACGAGCAAACATACACTTGGGCCCTATTTTTCCTTTTTGTTTTGACACGAGCAGTGGCTCTGTCCCCCCCGCTCCCCTTGCTTTGTCACTTTCCAGATGTAGGTCGCCCCTGTGAGCATGTAGAACCTTGCCCTTGGCAGACACTTCGGTTGTTCTCAGTTGTTTGATCTTGTCACACCACTGCAATGACTGGGGGTTGCCTTCTGCGATTAGTTTTTTGGGAGATAATTCCTGTCGGTTGAAAACAAAGTCGTGGTACAAAGCACATTCGGTGGGAAGTATTTCTCCCTTTGTCCAGCCGCCCATAGACAGCAGCAGCCTTTCTGCCTGGCTGTCGGAAGGTTCTGACCCACCTACATCAGAGGCCTTGGCTTCTGGGGGCTCTCTGAATCCCACCCATCCCTAATCCAGGTCCCCACTCACTCATTATGCCCCTGCTGGTGCCAGAGTCAACAGGATGGCCCCAGGAAAAGACCAGTCGCTGCCCCTCACGTCCCCCAGAGGGACCAGGGGCGAGCTGGCCGGGCGCTGCCCGCACTCCGCCCCACCCGGACCGCAGTCGGCTGCCTGGGCAAGCTCAGCGGGCGCTCCGGAGGGCTGAGCGGGGGATTGCCGTTGCCTCTAGGCCCCAGGAGGAAACGCACGCAGAAGAGGACCTGCAGCAGATCACGGTGCAGGTGGAGCCGGCGTGTAGCGTGGAGATAGTGGTCCCCAAGGAGGAGGGCGAGGGGTGAGTGGCCACCTAGTATGCTTACTAGTTGTGTGGTTCCTGTGCTCCCTTCTGCTCCAATCCCGTTAGCCAAGCGTAGTCACGTGACAGCCGGCAGCGAGGCATGCTGGGAACTGTAGTCTGCATTCTAGGGAGCAGGGGCCGAGAATGGGGCTTCGGTCATTGGGGTGTCGGGAACCTCAGATTCACAGAGCTGCAAGTAATTCGCTAGTCTTAAGATTGTCCCTCGCCTGCGGGCTGTGGCTCCTTTTCCCCTCCCGCCCTCGCCGTCAGCCTTCCCCCGGCTTGTGAGACGGGGACTGGCCAGCTCCTCCCGGGAGCCACCTTCGGGCCTGGTCTTCTTCCTCCTGCTGTGCGGTCTTTTCATTTCGTGCACTTAAACTTGTCAAGAATTTCATCCTTCTAATTTATGGTTGGTTTTCTCACTTGTTTATTTTCCTCAGTGTAGGTTGAGCGGTTAAGGTGTTTTTTGTTTTTTTTTTTTTCTTTCTTTAACGATGAAATGCTTGAGACTATGCATTTTCCTCTGAGTACTGCTTTTGCTGTGTCTCAACAGTTTTGACATGAAGCAGTTTCTTTTAATGCTGGCTCCTGTAGGGAGTTAGTGACTTTCCTTTTAATGTCCCCTTTGAGCCAAGGCAGTGATTTTCAACCACCTGAGACTAGTCCTGCCACCAGGGGACACTGGGCGGTTGGGGACATGTATGCCTGTCACACTGTGGGGCTCCTGGCATCAAGTGGGTGGGGCCAGGGATGCTGCTCGGCCCCCCGCAGTGCCCAGATGGCCCGCAGAGAGTGACCTGGCCCAATATCGACAGTGCTGTGGGGGCCCCGGACTGAGGTTCATTTTACTGGCCAGCTCCTCCCGGGAGCCACCTTCGGGCCCGGTCTCCTTCCTCCTGCTGTGCTGTCTTTTCATTTCGTGCACTTAAACTTGTCAGGAATTTCGTCCTTCTAACTTA